GACGCGACGTCAAAGCAAAGCAAAGCAAAAACAAAACAAAACAAAAACCAAAAAGCGGCAACAATTACCCCAACAACAACAACAACAACAGCAAAAGCAACAAAAGCAGCCAGCAGACCAAGAGATAATAATGGCCAATAGTTTTGCGAGTCAGAGCAGCAGCGTTAGAGCCAGAAACAAATAGAAATACTCGATACTCGAATTTCAAAAGCTCACTCGGTGAGACGATCGCCAATGGCCAAGTTTTTAGCCGTTTTGCTATGCTTTGCTTTTGAGGCTCAGGCACAGGCACAGACATTTGAAAGTTTTTTTCTTTGCTGTGTGCGAAAAGTCAGTCTTTAAATGGCTGAAGAGAGGAGGGTAGGGAAGAGTGGTAGAGGCGCTCAAAGATACAGCGGCCTTTCCTTTTTGTTATTTCTGTGTCACTTGCTGCGAAAGTCACTTGCAAAAAAAAAAAAAACCAAAATGTAAGTTGAAAGTTGAACCAAGAGGCGAGCACAGCCATCGAGCAATCGAGCAATCGTTGGCAGATTTTCACACCACATCTTCAAGAGAGTGGAGAGGGGGTACGGGTACCGCTCGTACTGTGAGAGGAATTAGTGGGATATCATTAGCCATGGATGGCTATCCCCCAGGAGGTCTCTTCAAACGTTTTTGTAGGGCACATTGGGAGGGGAATGTGCTATGGGAATCGCAATTTGTTTTTACAGCGTGTTTTGGGCAATTGACCGCAATTAAACATCCGATAAAGAAGTGAATGGATTATGAATGGAACTATGAGCTAAAGATATGTATATGTGCACAGAAGAAATGGAAGATGCCGAGAAATGGTGCTAGAATCCATGGAAGAAATGTGGGTTGAGAAATATAGAATGATTCCAAAAATCATGCAGATATCATGATTTGATTTATTTATTTATTTGATTTATGTACTGCCATTGGGATACCCATTAAGATCACTGGGCACACGTGCACTCAAGAAACCGTATCGCCCCTTTGGCACATTTTACAACATTTTTAAACATTTTTATTTAAATAGAGAATATTAATATAGTCATAATAATAATAATAATAATAAAAATATAGTAATAATATAGTTATATTAATATTATTATTATCTTATATTATTATTAATTACTATTATTACTATTAATATTACATTTTTATTTAAATATAGAATATTAATATAGTAATAATAATAATAATAATAAAAATATAGTAATAATATAGTAATATTAATATTATTATTAATTACTATTATTACTATTATTATTACATTTTTATTTAAATAGAGAATATTAATATAGTAATAATAATAATAATTATAAAATAATATTAATATTCAGGGCATTCATTTACCCAGAAAAATAGCAGTTAGAGCTGCAGTTACAGCAGTAAAGAGAGCTTTCCAGATTACAGAATTAGCTGTAAGGACGATTCCTTACTACCAGCAGAGCCAAAACAGCTGGCAGCCGCAGCAGTAGGCTAAAGTTAAAGATCGGCAGCAACTTTGATGGTTTAGAGTCTAAACCTTAGACGTATTCCCCTGTGTTCCCCCTACAATTTGTTTGCCAGTGGCTCAGATCTTATTTCATAATTAAATATAAGCTGAACGAAATTAAAACTGGTAAACCAAGAGCTCCTTCACATACTCTAAAATTTAATAATAATAAAAATATCATTCCCAAATAAATTATATACTTAATATATTTAAATAAATATATTTATTTATTTATTTATTTATTTTTATTATATTAAAAAAAATAAAATTAAATCACCCAAGCGATATAAAGCGATGCTCAAGTGCATGTAGGATAGATGCCGAATAAATGCCTACCAAAGATAGTTGGTGGCATAGAAAGAGGCGACAGCTGGATGCGCCACAGAGTGCAAAAGATATTCCCCAAGATTCTGGCATCTGCTTCTTCTTCTTCTTCTGTTTTTTTTTCCCAACTGCAAACTCAATCATCCTCATCATGCCACGATCATTTGCTGCTGCACTGCTCTCTCGCTGCCTGCACATTTCCATCATTTTCTACAACTTCTATGCACTTCACTGCATTCCCCTTCCTCTTCTTTCTGCCCCAGCACCCCACCCCCTTCTGCTTCTTGGCGACGCGGCACAGATAATTTGCCATCGGCAGCGCCAAATGTAATCCGCCATATAACCGTCTAACGGTAACTCAAAGCCAAACATAAATATGCGCAAACGAACAAAAAAAAAAAAAACAAAACAAAAACAAAAAAGAGCTTCTACAATTTTTGTTGGACTCTAACGAGTGGGGGGGGGTTTTGCCAGAGAGGGGAGCAGAGATAGAGAGAGAGAGAGCGCAGAGTGGGGAAGAGAAGGTGTACATACGGTACCAGAGTCAAGCAAACAAACAACTTCATGGGCGACGTGCAAAAATTCAATTGCTACAACATTCACGTTGTTTTTTTTGTTTTGTTTTGTTGTTGTTTGAAGTTCATGTGGTTTTGTTGTTGTTGTTGCTGTTGTTGTTGTCAGCAGCAAATCAGTGTGCAAAATGCTTCCAGCATTCATCCACTTCCATCCACTTCCATGCACCATCCCCATGCTCCATGCTCCATGCTCCATCCTCCTCCTCTCTCCATCCACCCCTCTCGCTTTAGTTTCCACTTCTTTCAAAGATCTTCATGATCTACCTTTCCATCTCCCTCCCCCCCTTCTGGCACTCTCTTTCTCCAACCATCCATTCCATCCATCCATCCATCTCTTTCTTTAAGCCTCAAAGTTTTATGCATTTGTCAGGCCACACTTCGGCCTGGCCTGCGCCTTCCTTACCCATCGTCTCCGTCTCCGTCTCCGTTTCCGTCTCCGTCTCGTGTTGTCTCTCGTCTCTTCATCATCAACAGCAAAATAAAATATAAAAAAAAATCTGTGTGTGTGTGTGCGCAAAAAAAAATGTCAGTCAGTCACAACGGCAGCTGCACAGAGAGCTCCTCCAGCACACAGCACCACCGCCTCTCTAAGCCTCCCTCTCTCCCATGGGCAGTGAGCAGTGAGCGCTTTCTTCCGTCACATTTGTCTGTTTTCCATGCCCCAAGACCAAGACCAAGACTCGACTCGACCATCGCTGGCTTTCTGACAAGAGTTGAAATGTATCTTTCACCAAAAGCCAAAGCTAAAGCCAAAGCATTGTCCAACATCAGCAGAGAGAGATGACAGCGTGAGAGTTATGCGAATCACGAAAGGTCTGCAGAGTTTAAAATATGTTTACAGATATGTTTCATTGCAGTCTCCTTTAAAGTGTCCGAATCAAATGATAAATCAATTATTCCATTGATTATTTCACTGTATGCATCGCTCCATTGCCTACAGTAGAAGAATCTCAAGTAAAGTTTACCGAAATAAACGAAAATCTTTAATTGGAGTAGCTCTAAAAGTGTGTTGAATCCGATAATTATTTACCAGAACCCAAAGACACAACGATTACTCAATAGATTGTTCCATCTGCTTATCCTCTAATTATATTTAATCAAAAACCAATCGATTATTCCATCGATAGTAGTGGGGACATCTCTTGCATCTCTGGCATGTTCTAGCACTCTTTTGGGCCCCATCTCTCTCGGTTTCATCTCTCTGTTAGTGCACTAATATGATAATAGCCTGCCATACGGTGGGGGGAGGGTACATGTGTTCAGACCATCTCCTGAGAAAGCCTCCGGAGAGTCTCGTTCCCAAAGTCTTGTTCTGAATGCACGGCCAACCGCCGAGTGGCCACCGAGGCCACACTTTAACCCAGCTTATGGAAACCCACACCCCACACACCCCGCACCCACCACACTTCTCTCTATCTCTGTGCTCACCCCTCTCGCGTCGCGCTCCCTTTCCTCGCCAGCGCTGCTCCTTGTTCTCACTGTGATGGAAAACCATTTTCTCATTTTCTCTACAACTCCAATCGACGCTCCACTTTTTTTTGCGTATTTTTTTTTTTTTTTTTGCTGGCTTGCTTGATGTTTGCTATTTTTTTTTGCTGCTTTTTGTTTTTGTTGCTTTTGTAGTTTGTGTAGCTAACATTTTTTATGCTCCAACTCCAACTAAACAATCAACTTTTCAAACTGTTTTTTTCTTTCTTTCTTTCTTTCTTTCTCTCTCTGTGTTGTGGCACTCTCCCCCTGCCCGCACTCTCCTGTCGGCCGCTCTGACTACGAGTATAGCGTTTTCCTATTTGTTGGCTGCACTTTTTGACGGCTTTTATTGTTTGCCAATTTCTGGCCCCCGAGACCAGCGAAGCATTCCATTCCATTCCGTACTACCACAACGCACACTCCTGGTCGTCGCAGTGCCCCCCTCCCTCACCTGCTGCTGCTGCTGCTGCTCACTCGCCCAATTCAAGCGCCTAACTGGTTGCAGCAGGGGCATCGGGTAACCCCTCCTGGCTGCTGCCCCCCCCTCCCACCAACCAGATGGGTTGCGCGCATCCATTGTAAATCCGCTAGGCGGTTGAGGAAGCGTTTTGTTCGGCTTGTTTGCCCGATCGAAGAAGGTTCGCGCTGACAGGCGGGAAAACAAGATGAAAAGAGTGGGGAGAAAGAGGGGAGAGAGGAGAGAGAATGGAGAGAAGAGTGGAGCAAAGAGAGACCTTGTTTTCTGCTGCACTTCTCCACTCCACTCCACTCCACGCCACACTTACTCCTCCTGTGTGTCTCTTTCTTCTCGATTTATTTGACTTATTCTCTCGCCCGAAGATCTCTGAAGATCTCTGGAAAAAGAGGTTTTTCCTTACCGCTTGCAAATCGAATTGGCTTTTCCCCGTGTGGCTTTGGCTTCGTCTTTGGCTTCGATTTAGATGGTGGCATGTCTCGAGCATTTGTTGACGCAAATTGGCATTAACCTTTGGAATGACCTGCTCTTCCTCCCTTTCTGCAAGGCAATGGCCCGGGCATTTTGTTATCTCCCATTCAGTGGGATTCTGCACTTAATATATCAATCAATCGAAAGAGTTCACTTGCAAGCATTTTATTTATTTTCTTTTCAGATATTTCCGAGGAGAAATGGAAGATGCCAAGATGGAAATTCTAAAGGGAATGGAAAGCGGAAGCCGCCTTTGAGTATTAAATGATGAGGAAAGAGGTACAAGTTACTTAAGTGTTTCTCCGGTAGAAAGATTGCTTAAGAATATAGCAAAAATGCATATAAAATTTATGAATGAACAAAAAATATTAATATAGCATGATATGTTAAAAAAATAAAAATATTAAATAAATAAAATAAAAATAATAATAATAAATAATAATTAACATTTTATGGGAACTCGGAACATACGTTATTGTGACTAAACTTAAACAACAATGTAAGTACATAGAGATAAAAAATTACAATTATTAATAAATAATTAAAAATAAAATAAATAATAGATAAAATAAATAATACAGAATAAATAATAAACAAAAAAAATAGTAAACCCATTGCATATAAAGTTTATGAATGAAAAACAAATATTAATAAAACATGAAATGTTAAAAAATATAAAAATGAAACTCTGTGAACATTCCAATTATTCTGACTAAACTTAAACAACAATAAACATAAGCAAGTACAATTATTAATACAATCCAAAGAAAATTGAAGAGTAAAACGTTTTGGTAAGGTTTAAGACATTAGCATGGAACCGCGCTAAAATGTGCGTACATTTCGTAGCAGAAAGCCTAGAAGAAACAACAAGTCCTCAAGCAATTTTAATCAAAATGTAATCTGCTTAAATTTCTAAAATTAAAAAAAAATTGCTGAAGGTTCTTGGAGCATTCCTAAGAGTGAATATTCTGGAGTAAACGTATCATTCATGAGAGTTGAAGAAACCGTTTTTTTTAGACCCTAGCGTAGCCTCTGCTTTAGCTGAGCTGCCACATAATTTTCTTCATATTTCGCATAAATCTTCAATATTCGAGTCCAAATTGAAAACCGATCTGCAAAATAGATTCAACGATTGCGCAATAAATGTTTTGCGAGTCGCCAAAAATCGTATTTTTCGGATGATCTAATTGCCGAAATTGGCGGAAGCTTCTGCTATGTCTGACCTTTGGCATTCCTCGTGGAATCAGCCCCATGTTTGTGTTGGTCGCAGTGTGTCCGGCACTGTGTCGTTTATTAATTAGCGAGTGCCGAAAATATGCAAATCCCAAAAACCAAAAAAACATTCCTTCTCTATGCGCTCAGTGGGAGGGGGGCTGGGGGATGGGCAGACAGACATTGAGCCAAAGTCTCGTGAGAAATAGAAATAGAAATAAGCAGAAATATCAAAAAATTATAACGCGTCTTAAAAAAAAGTGGCACAGAGGGAAAAAAAAACACAAAGAACAAAAGTAGAAAAGTAGAAAAAAAAAAAAGAACGATGAAAAAACAAAGAGTATTTACAGTTAGTTGATTGTTCCCATTTCCCCCCCCCCCTCCTGCCCGGCACGCCATATACCCTAATTTCTTACCCATCTCCCCAGCACAGATTCAAGCCAAACAGACAGACAAAACGAGGGACAGGCAGACACAAAAGAGGGCCAATGGCCGAACGCAATGTCTCCAAAGCAAAACGAAATGAAGGAGAAAAGAGTAAAATAAAGAATGAGATTAAGCAAAAGAAGAGGGAGGAAAGAGAATAGAAGTAGCAGCAAAAGATGTAAAGAAGAGTCGCGGGTGTGGGGTTGGGGGTGGTGCAAGAACAAACAAACGAATTATGAACCAATTTACAAATTACCGAAAGACCCAAAGAACAGTGTCGAGCGGGAGCTGGAGCGGGAGAGGCAGTGAATGCGAGAGAGACGAGACGACAGTCTGTCTGGCAGTTGTCCGTCTTGTCTCTCAGATGCTGCCTGCCTGACTGCCTGCCTCTTGGTGGGGCCATCGAATCCCGCATACACGCCCCCCCCAGCAGTAGCAGGCGAAGCCATTGACCAAGTAACGAGTTGCGAAGCGCGCGAGACGCGATTCTCGTCCAATGATCCGCTTATCCGCCGTGGCCACTGGTCCCTGGGCTCTGTGGGCGGCTTTGGTCTGTGGCGCACTTTCCATGAATTAGTGCAGAATTAATTCTCAGCACTGATAGACCGACGACATTTGGGAGATGCGATGCGGTCCATGATTCAGATAAGTTGTAGCTAGGAATAATAGGGGAGATGGCACTTACTTATGGATATATTAGTGGCATCTCAGCCCAAAGGTATTTCCATCCAACCAGATCCAGATCCCAAACAAAAACCCCGTCCACACTGCTGCAGGGGGATTCCCCGTCTTCCTTTCCTCGTGTCATTATTATTTAGCCGATTTGCTCATTTTACGTTACGTTCCGTTTCGTTCCGTTCAGTTCCGTTCCTTCCATTTGTTCATCGAGAGTTTTGACTTTTATTTGCCTGTCGTCTCGTTTACGGTCTGCTTATGCCTTCCCATACTAAAAAAAAATGTTCTGCAAAAACCAAAGAAATAAGATACAAAGATACATCTGTCTGCCGTACTGTCTGTCTGTCGGTCTGTCTGTCGTCCATAAGTAAGTAAATATATCTTGTGTTCATTCGGTGGAGTTCTTGGAAATTGTGGCTCTGCTTCTGCCATCTGCTATCCCCCTTTCTCTCACTCTCTCTGTGTGTGTGTCTTTCCTTCTTCTCTCTTTGTGTTTACCTCGCGAATTCAATTAAAATGCCGCCGCTCTCCACAACTTAACTCGAAATCTGTTCTGTGTGCTTCAGTTCTCGGGGGGGTTCAACACACTTGCCACCAACTTGCCCCATTGCCTGGCCCCAAATGCTCTCTCTCTCTCTCTCTTTCCTCTGTGCTCCAAAAAGTGTTATTAATTTGTGAAAGTTCTGATGCCTGCTGCCACGCCTTCTCCACCCATCACCATCACCATTCCGCAGAGGCGTCGCACCTGCACACCTGAAGATCGTTTTGCATTTGTTTGCTCAAGTGCATCCACAGATCCACAGTTTGTGCTGTGCCACAAAAATTTGAATTACAAAACGATCGACCAAAAAAAAAAACGCGAAATCGGGCTACGGATACGCGATCTTGTCGCATTAATTAAGTTAATTTGCTCACGGCTCACGCTTCTCGTTATCTTTCGCGCAGTCGGTGGCGACGACTAGCCAACCTGTCAATTAACATTTTATTGGCCATCGAATGGCAATTGTAGCGAGTGTCGAGGGTTGCCTCGAAATAACTCAACTTTCAGCTCAAATTATCGCCAATATTCAGCCACGAATTTCACCAGTCTATCGTTTGGTTTCATTCTGGTACTTCCACTTTGGGTGTTCTGCCGATTACTCAGCATAATTTCCATTGAAAAGCCCGGTGCCACTGCCTCCTGTTATCTCTCTCTCTGTCGGCCTTTCAGCGCGCTGATAAGATTCGCCGCCAAATGATTCAACAACTTTTACAAAGCATACAAAAACCTTTACTCCCTCTCCTTAACTCCCACTCCCCACTCTCTCTCTCTTACGCCCACTATCTTTGTGGGGGGAATTGCATAAATCCGAAACTTGTTTCCTTTTTTTTTTTGCCATTTTTCTGATTTAATAAATTTCGGTTTGAAATTAATTTGCCAAAAAAACAGCAAAAAAAAAAAGGAAAAAAACAAATAGCCAAAGCAAAGGCCCAACAAAAGATACTCTCGAAAATAGTTGCAGATACAACAAGCTATACAATCCGTAAGATACGGATACGTGTGCGGCTGCTGCTGCCACTGCTGCTGCCACTGCCACTGCTGCTGCTCATTGCGCAGTTAATTTGTTCAAGCGCTCAATGCGTCAATAACATTTGACTTTCACTTATTCCACTCCGCCACTCGCCGCCGCAGACAAACCGAAAGTGAAGACAATGTTAGATGGGATGGGGGAGGGGGGGAGTATACAGCCATAGATACAGCTACAGATACAGATACAGCAGATGCAGATGGAGATACATGCTATGGAGGAGGGAGGGTGAAGCATGAGGAAGCTTGTTATGAAATCAGTGAAATTTCCAAAAAGGGGAGAGAGAGACATGTCGAATGGGATACTCCGCGCAAGATTGGGCCAGATTCTGTCACTAGAAGATACATAGATACAATTGTGAGATAGATTTCATGATCCGAAAAGCTTTGCGCTAAGGAAGTTCTGGTAGCAAGACATCCTTGAATTAATTTCGTCTCAAAATCAATTTTTAAATAATATTAAATATAGAAAAATAAATAAATATTATGTAAGTATAAAATATAAATATAACAATATATATAAATATAATATAAATATAACAAAATAAATAAATATAATAGAAATATAAAATATAATAATATAAATAAATAAATATTTAATTAATAAAATATTTGAAATTGAGTATTTCACTTACAGCTACTCGCAGCAGGATGTGTCTTTCGTTTAATAGTTAATATTGATCTGAAATGATATATGAAAAGATTTTATTTATTTATTTGTTGTTATTTATTTTAATTTTATTTTTTTTCTTCGGAACATCCCTTAGTCCGATACACAGATATAGCGCCCCCCGCCCCAAACGCCAAGAGTTGTCCCTTAAGACCTCCCTGCCCCAGACTTCCTCCCTTCGCCCCTTGGCATAAGTTTTGGAATTTCTTGACTCATGTGTGATTCATTCCGCTCTCCGCTCGACGTTCCCCCCGCTGGAGCCGACCCCCCGCACCGTTCCTCCAATACACGGATACACACAAACAAAAACAATCTTTGAGATACGATTTCTTTTAGGTCGCAGTCACTGGTTTGTCGCTGGTTGTTGTTTCTGTTGTCTGGCGCGCGCAATTGATGTTGTAACATGGCTACCACGAGTGCAACATACCCCCCATGCCACCCCCTGCAACAACTACTCCATGCAGCATGCATCCCCCCCCCATCCTCTCTCTCTCTCGCTCTGTGAGTGGAACACTCCCCCAATACGAACGAAAATGTGTGACATAATCTGTGCAGACTTCAATGCTGCTGCTGTTGCTGCTTTTGCTGCTGCTTTTGGGGGCTGCTGCCTGCCAATGCTGCCACTGCTGCTGCAGTCTCCGGCTCCGGCTCCGTCTCCATCTCCATCTCCGTCATTCAATAAGTCAGTCAGAGTCTCCAGCATTGGAGTCGCGTTGTCGCTGTCGTCGTCGTCGGAGTCCAAGTCGAACTCCAACCAACAGATGTAGAGGCAGCGAGCAGGCGGTGGGGAGGGGAGGGTCTTTGGGAGTTCAATGAA